GGGTTTCGTAGCCTGTCATCTCTACAGCAGCACATTGCCAGGGCCTTCTTCCACAGAGCCACTGGGTGGTTCAAACCTTTGCGTTCACCGCTGAGCATTTAACTGTTGTACCTCCAAAGCTCCTTAATGTTGGATGTACTTGATCTGAAATCAAGGGTTTGAGGGAATGTTACATATTGAAATGACTGAGGGTGAGTGTTCACAATAGACAACAGGGCTAAGGGAGAAGGGTGGAGAGGGCATAGGGACAGTAGGACAGTGGGGAGGGAACTTGGGTCACATGGGCAGGAGATAGACTGTACTTCAGAAAAAGTGGGAGATCGGCCCTGTGGGATGTACCAACAGGCCTGCTGCATTGCTGCGTTTTGTAATATCCTGTATAAAAGAGCAGTCAGCAGTGGGCAGCATTACTGCTATCCTGATTTTCAACACCTTGGGATCCATCTCGTTAATAAATTATCCCATTTTATCTTCAGGCAAAAACAACTTTGAAAAGTCCTTCAGTAAAAAGAAGAATAGATGAAGCATATTCCTTGGCAAAGAGAAGTAAGTTTCATTATTAAAGAAGTTATGGTTTAACTTGGAAGCTGAGTGGATTCTCTGATGACATATGTGGACACGCCCCAGCAAAATGACAGGTTTTTGCACTGATGTGGGCCTGGGGTTCCAGGGCGTTTTTGTCACAGCAGTATAGAACGTGCAGGTATGTGGTCAGTGCTGCTCATTATGACTTTTGTAAATAATGCAGCGCTCTGCTAAGTGCAGGTGGGAGGTGCAGGAGCTTCCTAAGATGTGTCTGTGATCCTTCTCTGAGTGTCCTTGGCTGACCTTCCTCTGCCGGTGGTGACCATGGTGTGAACGTGTGTTCTGAGATGATAAGAACACAGCCCAATTAGAATTGACCTTGGACAGAAAACCCCGATGTCCTATCGGGGAGCTGAACCAGTCTCCCAAGAATAGATTCTGTGACCCCCGTGTCCACTGCTTGCCACATGATCAGATTGTGCTGCAAGATAGGGCTTTTCTTTCCAAAGACAGGCGGCACCAACTCTCAGTGGGTGTCTTCTCTGAACTCAGTGCTAGGTCAGGAGCCTCAACTGTGTCTGTACTGACCTGTGTGAGGTCTTCTTTTAAAATTAATAACCTGACGTTTTCAAAAGTGGGTTTTGTTTGTCTCACATGGATTTCTGGAAATAGTGAATAATTGAGTTACATCAGAGTTTATGATTTAGGAGGGCTGGGGGAGGGCCGGGGGAGGGCCGGAGGAGTGCAGCTCATGAAGAGTTGACATTGTTAGCTGTCAAGTCTACTCCCAATTCTTCGCAACCCTGTGCACAGCAGAGCCCCATGCTGCCAGGGCCTGCACCATCCCCCCCGGCCCAGCCCCCAAGTGGTGCCCTGCAGACATGTGACCCCATGCATGGCAGACCCCAGTGCTGCTGGGGCCTGTGCCATCCACCCCCCCGCCCAGCCCTGTGACTTGTGACCCAAAGAGCCTTGTGTGACTGACTTTTGGGAGTAGATTGCCGGCCCTTTCCTCCTAGCCCATTGTGGTCTGGAAGCTCTGCTGAAACCTGTTCAGCCCCATAACAGCACACAGGCTTCCACAGACAGATGGCTGCTGGCTGTGCATGAAGCACATTGGCCAGCAATGAACCTGGTCTGCTGCCTGGAAGGTGAGCTTTCATTTCGGATGATGGTTAATGGTGTCCATTTGTTGTCTGCCATTTGAGAAAACTATGAAGAAAAAATATATATAAATTTTGTAACCTAATTTTTTTTAAATGTAGAATATCCTTATAATGCTTAGTACATTAAGAACTTTAATGGGGCTTCAAATTGTATATGCGTCCTGTTCAGGTGTGTCTGTGTGTGCATCTACTCCTGAGGAGTACTGAGCTTGAACTAGTGTTTCCATATTCCTGTTTTCCATCTCAGCTCTCACAGACCCAGAAGAAAGCCCTCTCACTGCCTATTACCTGCGATGTCTTGAAAATCTTGTGCAGCTGCTCAGCTCCTCCTGAACACCATGAGGGGCTCACCCTGATGGTGACAGTCACTTGGTAGGTGCAGCAGCGAGCAAGTGTGTGCAGCAGCGGCTACCTGAAAACACGCTAAGTCTGTGCAAGGCGTGGCGTCACTGCCCCCACCTCCCTGCAAGAAGTGGGACGGGGACATCTCTCCACGACTGAGCAGCTGACAAGAAGACGACAGGAAGAGTGACGCAGGGTATTCTGGGCCATGAACATTTTACCTTTTCCTATGCAATGTGCTTCGTGAAAATCCTATTTAACTGTTATTTAATGAAATAAAATATTTTTGGAACTGAACATAAACTACTAATTGGTATTTGCAGATTTTATTTTTTTCTCTTTTTTACCATCCCCAACCTCCTCCCCTCCCTTCCCAGTCAACTGCCCCCGCACACCATCCCCCATGCCTCTCATAGTTATACACTTGTGTGTCCTGCATTTCCTCCATGTGAATGTTGACCCTCTGGTGCTCCAAGGCACGTATCTCCATAGAGTAGGTGGGTGTGTCAGCCTGGATTGGGTGGTCTACGTGTATGTCTTGTTTACTATTGGGCTGAGAGCCAGCCCTTGGGAGTGTGTATCC